ACACGCTCAGGGGCACTGCCCCGAGACACATTCCCTTTGACCAGAGCCTGCAGTCCCTTCGCTGGGTGAGGACGTGCACGTCCGTCACCAGGACCAGTAAGCAGACTGCTTCCAGGGAGGGCACCCTGTCCATGTTCATCTACGTGAAACACCCATGTGCCCTCAACCCAGAAACTCCAGTTCTACAAAGTGGCAAACGTACAAGGGGATTCCCAACAGTCTCGTTCATAAAAGCAAAACATCAGACCACTTAACGATCTGTCACCACGCAGCACTTGTTAAAAAAAGAAAACAAAGTGATGAATCTTCTGTGACCTAAAGGGGAACGATCTCTAAGATACAGCCTCAGCGGGGCACCTGGGAGGCTCAGTCGGTTAAGTGTCCGACTTCAGCTCAGGTCGTGATCTCACGGTTCGTGGGTTCGAGCCCCACATCAGGCTCTGTGCTGACAGCTAGTTCAGACCCTGGAGCTGCTTCGGATTCTGTGTCTCCCTCTCTCTGACCCTCCCCTGCTCATGCTGTCTCTCTCTCTCTCTCTCTCAAAAAAATAAAAAAAATATTAAAAAAAAAAAAAGATACAGCCTCAGCTCCCTTTGTAAAACTGGGCTACGATTTACACTTGATGAAACCCACTGTTTTCCACCTGGTCCTGAGCCCCGGTAATCACACATGCCCTGTATCCAGTGCTGCGGCGGCAGCCCTCACGCCTCACGCCGGATTCCCTGGCGCCAGGGGACACACACACACACACACAGATCGTCCCGGAGGAAAACAGCAGCAGAGGCCAGCTGCCGCCTGAGAGGGAACCGGGCTTGGGGCACACAGAGGGACACACGCAGTGCACCCGCGGAGGCCTTCTGCCTGGGTGAATCTTGCAAGTGCACCATGTTTTCAAAAAGAAGTTGAAATCCTAAGACTCAAACTCTTAAGACCCCTACCCGTGTGTTGCCTTTGTTAAGCTAAAGGGAGGGCGGGAGAGAGAGACGTTCACATAAATGTTCAGAGCTCCAGGTCCTTGGACACGCCCCCACCGGAGCCGGGGCTAGAGTCCCACACCCGCGCACCCGCCCACAAGCACGTGTGCATGTGAGGGCCCGGCTGCAGGCCCGGGCACTGACCTTGTAGACGTGCCGCCAGTTCTTGCCGTGGTCATTGAGCCGCTTCCAGATCATGCTCATGATCTCGGAGAAGGCGACGACGTTGTAGGTGAGGTCAGCGATCTCGGACATGAGGGAGCTGGACGGGCCCCAGGGGTCGTTGCTTGTGGCTTCTCGGACCTTGATCTCGGCCTCCGAATAGTTGTGGACTATGTTCTTCATCTGGCGCCGCAGCGACGAGGTCGACATGGCGGCGAGTGGTGGCGAGGGTGGTGGCCCCCGGGGTGTGGCGAGACAGGGGCGACTCGAGGAAGAAGACAGCGGCAGGGGCTGGTGGGTCACCGCATCTGAGAAGGAAAGGCCCTTCAGAAACACAACGGGGACCTGGGGCTGTCCAGCACGAACCCCCCACTGGCCCCCCAGGGCTGAGGACGAGGTCCTAACCCTAGCGTAGATGGCTCTGGTCCTTGTTAACCCCTATCTCAGTCACCCGGTCCATCTTTCAGTTCCTCAAACATGCCCAGCTCCTTCCTGCTTGGGGCCCCTGCTCCTCGAGGCAGCGTGTGCAGTGGTGGATGACAGGCCGGGGCACCTCAGCTCGGCACTTCCGAGCCAGCTGCCCTGGGTGGACCAGGAACATCCGCACCTCAGTTTTCTCCCCTGTAAAGTGGGGCTTCATTCCACAACCCGGGGAGCTGGGAAGCCGGTGCATGGGAAGTGCGGTATAAACGTGGGGGGTGTCACAAGATGGTCCCCCTGCTCTTCCTCACCACTCAGGCAGCTCCTCGCCACCCAAAGGCTCCGCTCAAGCCTCCCAGATGTTACACACCCAAACAGCAGTCATTATTCCCCAGGGGCCCCATCGGTACTGTATACCCGTGGGTCTGACTCTGTGGCTAAGGCCAACCCGAGAGCCCCAGGGGGACAGAGACCATGTCTCTGGAGACAGCTGCCCCAGAAGAGCCATTCAATAAACAGCTGGCAGGAAGGGAAGGAGGGAGGGCAGGAGTGGAAGGGGCAGAATCTGCAGCAGAAACGAGGACACAAAGGGAGGAGACCAATAACGGGAACGGAGCGAGAGGCAGGGGGCGCCAGGGGACGAGGCTCCCAAGGGTGGGGGCGCGGGAGGCTCGGGGGAGGGAGAGATAAGGACAAGCCCGGCCACCCACTGTGCCCGAGCCGCATGCCAGGTGCTCACTGACCATCATGCCCATTATCTCAACACCACCGGTGGGGCCTGTGGAGGCCAAGCCAGTCAGCCAAGGTCAGACACTAAGCGCGGCAGCATAGACTCAACCTCTGGCTCCCTGGACCCCAAAACTTACACTTTTAAACTAACCTGAGCTGAGAGCAAGGTGACGGGAGTAAACAGAAGGCGGGAACCAGACAGAAGGTGACGATCACAGCAAGCAGGGACACTACCCTTACCCCGTGCCAGGCACTCTTCTCCATACTTTACACACAGTGACTCAATTAATTCTCCCAACCCGACTCGTGGCACCTCACTGGGGGAGGAAACTGAGGCACAGGAAGAGTGCCTCCTCTGCCCAGGCTCCAGAGCAGACTCTGAGCGCCTCGGTCCACATCCGCTCCAGCTGGCCATCCCACCACCTACCTAAGTCCTGGGATGGCTGGGCTGGGCCCAGCTTTGAATTCCTGCTGGAGAGCAAGGCACAGGGAGGCAGATGGCATGGTCAGGGGCCCAGCAGGCCAGCCGGACACACCAGGACAAAGCGCCGATGTGACCAGCACAGAGGAGACAGAGGAAGGGGAACGAGACAAACAAGAAGAGAAAGAGACACAGGCAGAGGAACTACCCAGAGACAGACTCACAACCAGAGGCAGTGAGGCGGACAACACTGAGAAAGGACTGAGCCCCTGGAAGGAAAAGAAAGAGAGCGCAACCCGGCGCTACAAATTAAGGGGATAAAAAATTAAGACAGGATTCAAAAAACAAGAGAATTGGGCCCAAATCCTGGCCATGAGCTACCAGCAGAGCAACCTCCTTGGGACTCAGTTTGCTCAACTCTGAAAGGAAGGAAAGAATTCCTACCTGGCAGGCTCACTGATTAAATAAGATGGGGACACAGAGTGCTTGGCACCCTGCCCCGCAGATAGTAGGAGCTCAAAAACGTCGCCTGCCACTATCAGAGCGAAAAGACATTTCCAAAAGGCTGGTATCAGAAGACGCACTACTTTAACGCTGGGTAATTACGCTAAACTGTGTTAGAAAAAACAGCGAAACTTCACCCATACTGCTTAGGAAGAGAGCAAGTTTTTCAACACAGACAGACTCCCAAAGAGAAGTGTCAGATCAAGAAGAGGTAGAAGAAAAGGGCAAAGCCCTCCGAAGGGTATTCAGATGACTGACGTCCAACATGTGCTGTGTGGAGCTTAAAACTTGTAAGAGCTGAATCCTGAGGTCCCCGCAGTTGATAGCGGGGCGGGGCGAGCTGCTTTACTACTACCACCTCCCTGAACTTGCACAGCGACCCTAGGGTGCAGGAACCGTGAACGACTCTAAACACTAGGAAGTCGAGGTTTGGAAATGAGAGAAGTCGCCTGATAATAACCACTACAGACTGACCAAGCAGTGGGCCACTGATTCCACAGCGGGGCTCTCGACCTCCCCACCCCTCGCCGTCCCCCACCCCCACCCCGGAGACTCCAGGACCTGAGGGAGGGGCAGACTCCAGACCAAGCAGCGGACGAGCGCAGAGGGACCTCGGGGTTAGGATGTGAGCAGGGACGACGAATGGGTAAACGGGGGGAAGATGAACAGAGACGGTGACTAGGGTCACCGGGAACTGCACACACGGAAACTGAGAGAGAGAAAGGGGGGGGGGGGGGGGGGGGGGGAGACACACACAGAGAGAGAACGAGCGCGAGCGGCACAACCACCAATCCTGAGCACCGCACACCCGACACTGACAGAGGCCGACACACGGGGACCGGCGCCCGGTGGAAGCGCCACAGCGGACGCGGACACGGGCAGCGCCGAGGCCCAGGCGGAGGTCGGCGGGAGACGGACCAATACAGACACCGCGGGGCAAAAAGACGCGGGTGCCGACACACAAAGGCCGCGACGATGGGCCGGGGACCGCTCGCGACGGACGCCCGAGAACCTGCGGCCCGCTGCACCCCGGCCCGCGCTCACCTCGGCCCCTCACGCCGGGCTCCGGGGGGTCATGGCGGGCAGCCCCCTGCCCCGCTCGGCCTCGGAGTCGCGGGGCGCACTCCTGGCCGCGGGCGGCGGACGCGGAGGCACACTCGGGCGGACGCACGGACGCACGGAGGGCCGCACGCCGACGGCCCCGGCGCCCCGGCGCCCGGGAGGGGCGCAGAGAGCCGGGCGGGGGAGGGGAGCCGCCGAGCGGACGGGACGGGAAGCAACCGAAGGAGGCGACGGACCGGAAGCGGAAGTGGCGGCACGCCCCGCCCCCCGCGCCGCACTTGGCCCCGGCAACCCCGCCCTCAGAGAGCCTGCGCAGTCGCCGCTTCCGCGGCCCAGCCCGGCCTGCTGCGTCACTTCCGGCGCGCGGGCGCCGCCGCTTGGCCGCGGGGACCCCCTTGTAGGAGTGGAGGCCTCAGAGGGGCCAGGCCGGCAAGCTCGGGCGAAGGAGGTGGGGGAGGCGAGTAAGGGGCCGCACCCCGAGCACCCCGCGGCGCTCTAGTGACCCCTCCACCTGCCCCGCGGCCGCACACGCAGAGGCCTGTCAGGAGCCTGGGCCTCCAGAGCCCCGCCCGCCCCGGGCAGCCGGCCACGCAGGCGTGGTGTGCCCCGCATGGCGTGCCAAGGGCGCCGGGCCGGAGGGCAGGGACAGCCGGGCGCAGGGCCGAAGCCTAGGACTAAGGACCGGGGTGGGGGCGCGGGGTATACACACCAGACACAGAGCAGCTCCATAAAGTAAAATACAACAAAATGTTTAATGAGCAAATTTGTCTTAGCAAATATGAAACTGCCACAGAGAGGAGGACAGGGCCACGGGGCTGGGGTGCAGGTGGGGGAAGACTAAGGAGGAGAGAATCAACTACGTAAGAAACCGGGGAGAGGGCGGGCACCAGGGAGAGGACCAGAGGCCAAGAGGGCGGGAGCTGTGGTCCTGGAAAGGGAGAAGGCAGGGCACCAGGGGTAGGACAACAAAATTCAAAATAGTTTGGCCATAAAATATAAACACACTATGTTTCTACGGTGGGGAAGGGGAGAAAGAGGGTAAAAGGGAGGAGAGGCTGTTTTGGGGAGGGGCTATGGGGGTCCTACCCCGCCCTGCTGTGCACCCCCTCCCCGTCCCCACCCCTTCCCTCTGTGTCTGGGTGCATGTGTCTGTGTGGGCCTGTGCGCGCACTTCCCCATTCCCCTCCCCATCCCAACCCCCACCCCACCCACCCCACCCTAATTGCTGCCATTCCAGTTGCTGCCGGCTGTCATTCGGCTGTCACTCCTCTGCCCATCTTCTTCAGAGGGGGAAAAGAGGGGGGGTGGGAGGGGGAGCAGCCCCCAGCCAGCCCTGCCCCCACCCTCCCCCTCCCCCTCTACCAGAAGTCCCGACGGTGGTAAGAGTCGGGGTCACAGTATTTTGTGACAACCACTCTGTTGGCGAACTTGCGACCCGTCAGGCCCTGCATGGCTTTCTGGCAGTCGAACACAGAGGTGAACTCCACGAAGATCTGCGGGAGGAGAGACAGGTTGTGAAGGCAAGGTGGCCTTTGAGCCTCCAAGGACAAACTGGCTCAGTCACAGCAACCAGCCAGCCAGCATCTACCCAAAACCCAGAGCTCCACAGGAGGAAGAGGGCCTCACTACAGGTTTGGGAGCGTCTGGCAAACGTCCTGCAGAACCCCAGGATCAAAGGGGAATGCAGAGTGAGAAAGCGCTGGAGGGTCCACTCATTTTCCACAAGAAAAATGTGTTCTACTGCTTCAACAAAAGGCTTGGGGGGTGGGGGAGGAAATTATGTAGAACTGATACATTTCAAGAAAGTTTTATACAAAAAGATCCTTGTTTGGATCCTTAAGTAAGTAAAACAAGTCTTGAGACAGCAAAGGAAATTTGAACACAAAATTAAGCACATCCTAAGGATAATTTTGTTATGGTAATAATGATACTATAGCTTCATCAAGATTTTTTTTTAGAAATGATCTGTTACAAGTTTAGAGCAGTACTTCTCAACCAGCTCAAGTGTGTCCCCAGGCAACATTCTGCAATGTCCAGAGACCTTTTTGGTGGTCACAAAGGAGGACACAGTACCGCCATCTAGGAGGTGCTCGCATTTACTGGGTGGAGGCTGGGAATGGGCTTAAACACCCAAGAGCACACAGCACAGAACCCAAAGCAAGTTTTGCCAGGCCCCAAATATGAATAGCTCAGATTATTATAGAAATACACTTGTTTACCATAGCTGAATTTTGGAGATGTGCTTTAAATTATTTCAGGGGGAAAAAAAAGGGAAATTAGAAAGCCAAATATAGAAATTAAAAATGGCCAGATACAGATAACGTGAAGCTGGGTCATGGGGCATGACAATGCTCTACGGAGGCGCAATAGAACTTAAATGGCGCACGGTAACACCCCACTACAGTAATTCTTCTCTCCTATGTGTGTGAAAAGAATGAAAAGTTTCAAACGAAACAGGATGATCCCAGAGACCAGGCAGGTCCTCCCATTCATCCTTCCCACAAGTATTTACTCTGCTCCTCCAGAGCCAGCCCCACTCCAGCGCCTGTCATCGCACTGAGTGCAACAGACACGGGGGGAGCAGATGTCTCCGCCACACACAGGGAGGACTGGGCAGGAAAACGCAAGAGGACTTGCTGCCCGTCTGCCCCCCACCAAGCCCTGGACCTTGGCCTCCAATGCTCCTTCCACTGCTCCCTGGGCAAGCTCATGCGGCTGACGCAGAACAGGGCCAGTGTGCTGATGACACCCACGCTTCTACGAGACCGCACGCCTGGGACGCAGCTCTGTCCTGCTCACTCTCTGCTAAGCAGTCAACCTGCCCATCGACACGGAACCCTCCCCCGCCCCCCCCTGCCCAAACCTGCTCAATTCCCTTGCTTCTTTCTCACCTTCCAGTTCCACACAATCACCAAAGCCAGAAGTCTGAGCATTTTACTGGACTCCTCTTCCCCCTCCAGCGTAACCCAAACCAACCACCATGATCTGGGTGTTTGCAGGTAATGGGTTTCTCAAATCCATGGACTTCTCTCTCCACCCTCCTGATCACCAACTTGCACCAAGCTGATCACAAGCTGTTAGTTCCCAAAGCTGCGTAGATCTTACCACGATGCCCTCTACCCCCTCCCACTTCCCAGTCTGCAGATTCCAGCCCTGCAGTGTAGAGGTGTTGCCTGCCTGTGACCCCTGGCCACCCCTGACTTATTCTAAGGAACCATTTCCATGTGCCAGGCAAGAGACCACAGTCGGGACCTTCCAAAGGCTTCCTGCTCACTGCAAGGACACACTGAACATTCCTCTAGGGCCAATGCAGACCTACAAGTCTGCCGCCCTGGGCCCCAACCCCCAGCCCCGTATCTCCCACTGCTCTTTGCTTTACTCTGCTCAGGCTACGCCGGCTTGGTCACTGTACCCAAACATACCAGGATGTCCGCACTCACTGGGCTCCCTAGCCAGGACCCCCACCTGCCTGCTGGGATAACCCAGTGTCACCTGGGCCTGCTTAATGCCCCCGCTTGACCTCCAGTCTAAATACTGCACCCGGAGCATCTGTCCCCTCTTCCCACCTACCACCTAAGGTGGCACGTGTGTGGCCTGGCCAGGCTGGCCCAGGACTTGGCAGCTAAAGCCTGAATCACTAGGTGAGTGGCTGGATGAACCTAAGTCACCCCCTCTTTCTGCCTCCCAAGGAGAGTGTGAGGTGCTGACTCCTGGCACAGCGCCAGAAGGAACATGCCTCAGTGGGCTGGGAAATGTGACCCTGTGGCCTGTGTCCTCTGAGGAAGGGCCCAGAAGGCTGCTACGCGAGTCCAGGGTCGCACAGGTGAGCTCAGGGAGAACCTGGCACCTGGGAGACACGAGTGTGCTTGCTGCTGTTGACACTAACGTACAGCACTTTCCTCTGCACCGCACAGACGAGGCCAAACCGCTTGCACAAGGTCACAGGACAGGACAAAGCTGTGAAGTCGTTGCAGGGCCCCACACCACGTGGGAAGAGGAGAGGGAAGGGCGCGTGCACACCCCCCACACACCTTTCCGCAGCCGGGCACCTCGACGCCGTCCACAGGCCGGGGGATCTCGATGGACTTGACGAGCCCGTACTTGCTGCACTCATCCCGCACGTCCTCCACGATCTCCTCGTACTCCTCGTCGTCCAGCAGCTCCTCGGGCAGCACCATGTTCATGAGGCACAAGACCTCGGTCGGGTGGCCGCCCATCTGCACCTGGGAGCTCATCAGGCCTGGCACTTGCAGGGTCACAGGGGTCTGGTTGATGGTGCTCTGTGGGGCAAAGGGCAGAGCAGTCACAGCCAAGGCCACACCAGCCCCCAGAGGCCTACCCAGGGAAAACCACACCCCACCCCTGAAGGTCCAGGTGCCCACGCAGCAGCACCAGGAAAGCCAGGGCCACAGACTAAAAGGACCTCCTCCCGGCCCCTCCCAACCCTCCCCTTCAGGTGTCCCTCTAGCCAATGGAAGATGACGTGCCGGGGGGCTCACCAGCGTGGCATTCTTGGCTCCCACACTTGCCCTCTGGACGAGCAGTTTCTTATCCCCCAGCTGCATCCCATTCAGCCCTGCGATGGCCTGTGTTTGGAGGACGAGGGGTGGGGGGTGCGGCGAAGAGGTGCGGGTCAGGGGCCAGGAGCTGGACACCTCCCCACAAGCCCCAATACCCCAGAGCCGGGCATTGGTGGGGGAGAGGGGAAGGGAAATGGGTCAGAGCTTGGAAAGAGCCAGAAATGAGGGAAAGGGGCCAAGTCCCCTATGCAGGGTCCCACTGCAGACTGCCTCCCCCACCCATCCCATGGAGGGGAGACCAGTGTGGACAGAGCAAAGTGAGGGCCAAGGGAGCACGCAGCAGCGCCAGGGACCCGGGGCTCACCTGGTCTGTAACGTTGATGTCCACGTACTCACAGAAGGCATAGCCCTTGGAGAGCCCCGTGGCACTGTCCTTGACCAGGTTGAAGGCCTTGAGAGGCCCAAACGACGTCAGCAGCTCTTTTACCTGAGACGGGGCCGCAACTGTCAGGGCTGGTTTGTGTAAGGGCTGGGAGGGGAACAGCCAGGAGGCGGCGAGGGGCCTACCTGGTCATCGTTCAGGTAATTGGGCAGACCCCCGATGAACAGCTTGTGGGCAGAGTCTGGAACCACGGTGGACACAACTCCTGGGGGAGGGATGAATAGGTTTTGGTTCCCAGCACAAGAGCCTCACGCAGCACACAGGGACAGGCACACCCCGCCATCTACACGCTCACCCCAGACGGCGGCCAGGCCGCGGCTGACAGAGAACCCGGGTCTCCCAATTCTGCCCCACCTCCGAGTCCCCCACTACCAGCTCTCCTCAGGGCGCGCGGCGGCACTGCAGCAGAAGGCCCCGGTGGGGGCCCCGAAAACACAAGCTCATGTCCCCAGCCTGCCAACCGTGCTGGACTGTGTCTGCACTCACTCCGCTGGCACACACCACCCCCACCCCCTCCTCATCTTTCAGGCCACGACTCCACACCCTTCCCTCCCACCCGATGTCTAGACCGCGTCTCTGGCTGACCCTCCGTCCTTTTCTCTGTGGTCCTGTGCACTTCACAACTACCACAGCCCGGCATCGTCACACACAGCAGGCCAGGGAGTGCCTCGGAGGCCTGCTGATCAGGGTCCACGAAGGCAGGGACGTGCCCACTTCACTCAGGATCCGGACTCCAGGCCCCAGCGGGGCTGTCACAGTGCGGTCACATCAGCAGAATGCGTTTAGTGACCACTGGGCATCTCCCCCAATCCTGCCATCTCCCCTGAACTTTGGATTCAGAGGCTTGCCAAGTGGCTCAGCCCGTGGTCCTAACAATTCCTGGAGGCTCTCATCAGGTGTGAGCTACCCAGGGCCGCAGCTGGGTGTCCGAGCTCAAGAGAAGGGAACCACCACCCACCCTGCCTGACTGGTTCCTGACTTTCCAAGTTCAGACCCCTCTCGCAACAACTGTGTGGCCTGGCCCTCCTCTGTAGTCTGTACCAAGTGGCCGCTCCCTACTTCCTCCTGATCTGGGGAGGGACAGGGAAGATGGAGGACAGGGGAGCCTCAGACCCTGAGTCACCAGACCCAAGGCAGGGTGCGCCCCCTCCCCCCACCCCAGCCACTCTGACCACCAGAGCCAAGCACCATCAGGGTATCCGAGAGAGGATGAGCAGAGGCCACAGGCCAGGCAGTGCACGTCAAACCTGTGAAATCCACTGCCTCGATGCTCTCAAAGCCCTATCACCAGAAGGCAGGAAAAACTAAGGCGCAGGAAGGAACGAGTACCCTGCAGCCACCCAGGCAGAAAGAAGGGCTGCGAGGGCCCCCTCATCGATCATGAACCCACAGGCAGCTCTTGGCGAGCTAAGGGCTTTGCACAGGCACCACCGCTCTGACTGACGGCGGACAACCACAGAGCAGGGGTCTCGTCCCCCCAGCAGAGCAGTGGCAGAGCCAGGGCAGCCCCAGCCACCAGGTGTGGGCTGTGCCAGGCACCCCAGGGAAGCACACAGGGCTGAGGGCATCAGGCACCACAGGCTCAAACCTAGGGTGCAACCCCAAGCGAGTCTCGCCTGAGCCTCGGCGTTCTCATCTGTGAAACACAGAAAACATGCACGCTTACAAGAGAGGAGAATGACTCACACAGCATGTACCTAAAACGGGGCCTGAGGCCAGGGTCCCAGTGACCGCGGACCCCGTGTGGACAATGGTTCTGAAGCAGGGTAAAAGGACTCACACGAGGATGATGCAACTGGGAGCCCAGGTCAGTCCCAGTGCCCAAAATCAAGCCCCTGGCAATATCCCCTCCGAACAGAGGGCAGGCTCCTCCCTAATCACATGTCCGCTTCCCTCAGAGGGGCCGCCGTCACAGCACTCCCCTCTCCTCCTCAATCCTGAGGCCTCACCTCCTCTCCGAAGGCCATGCTGGACCTCCAACGATCAAGCAATCCTTTCTTGAGCGCTTCCTCCTCAGCAGGGGGGAAGCCCCACCAGCAGGAGAGCATCTAGCACGGAGCCTGGCAGTGGGCAGGTGCAGAGGGCCAAGCTGAATTCACAAACTCAAAGGGTACTATGCTTTCCTGCCTCCAAAGACAGCTCTGGCTCTCCCTGCACCACCACCCCCATCTTTAAAGGACAGTCAGAACCCCACATCAGCACTGAACGGCTGGGCCTGACTTTGGTGGAAACGGAGCTAACATTCCACGACTCCAGGTGATGCAGGTTTACATTCAGATCAACAGGATTCCATCAAAACAAGAAGTCCTCTTTCAGGTTCCTGGAATGTTTCTCTTCCAACCAAAAATACCTGAGTTTTTTATCAAAAGCTCTCCTCTTTAGCCTCCTCAAATAATAAAACTGACTTTCGTTTTTGAAAAGCAAAGATCAAAACAGGAGCTTCGCTATGAAAAAACTCAACCAGAGGATGCTTAACCTGCAGACAGAGTCAGACTTCCTGTCATGTCCCACTGCCTGCCCAGGCCCTTCTGGGCAGGCAAACCTCAAGTGCGAAGACTGACGAGTGACCTCACAGCTACAGCCCCCTCCAGCAAGGGGAAGACCACCCAGAGCCACTGTCCCTGGACGGGGGGTGTCCACTCCCACAGGGCAAAGGGGACATGCAGAAGGCAGTGCAGGAAGACGGCAGGTGCCAACTCTGGACACAACCAGATCACCTGGGAGACCACGAGCCGTGCCATGCCTTGCTGGCCTTCTCTAGATGGCGGCTAACAGTATCCACAATGGCAGTTGGCAAACCTTTCACTAAAAAAACCAAGCAGCAAACACTTTGTCTGTTACAGTCTTGACACGGGATCTCTGTCACCCAACTTGGCCACCCCAACACAAACACAAATAAGCAATGAATGGGCTGAGCTACGTGCCAACGAATCTTCATTTAAAAACCAGGCAGGGGGCACCTGGCTAGCTCAGTTGGTAGAGCATGCACCTCTTGATTTCAGGTGCACGAGTTTGAGCCCCACCTTGAGTGTGGAGCCTACTTTAAAAAAAGAAACAAGCAGAAGACCATGTCGGGCTTCCAAGTTATCACTTGCTGACCACGTGTTACTACAAGTCAGTCACAAAAATTAACGTGATCCAGAGCCCACTTGGAACAGAGCCTGACACAGTAGGCATCACCAAGTGTGTCGGCTACTCACCTAATTAAAAATAAAACAGCCTGAATTTACTTAACAAAAAACAGCATTCCGCAGCTTCCCCTGGGAATTCCGCAGCTGGGAAGCGGTCCCACGGGTACATGCACAAACAGCAAGTCATCACGCTGTGCCTTCACAGCACGTGTCATGCTTCCGTTCTTGAAAGAATTAAAAAGATCCACTGAGTTTACCAAATTACTACAGCGGAGAACACTGGAGACAAGGTGGGGAAAAAGCCCCCGGTCCTGAGGCACCTTCCACCCTCTCTGGAACTCCATGTCCCCGACTCTGCGAAGAGCAGACTCAACTTCTAAAAGCTGTCCTTCAGTGCAAACCCTTGGGCAGCTGCCTTCTCACCCCCCAACCCAGAGGACCAGGGCTCACCCACCTTTCCTGGGAGAGCTCCAGGGGTCTGGGAGCACACAGCTGGCTGCCCCAACCCCGCAACACTCCCAGGCGCCCCAACAGCGCCCCTGGGGAGGCCTCGTCTTCACCACACCTGTCCCACCGCAGGGCTCCACAAGCAGCTGCACGTCAAGTCAGGCCTGCCGTTTCTGCACTTCCTGCTACTGCTTGACACGTGGGTACTTTAAGAAGCCGAAACGTCCCCACATGTAACTGACAGAGCACGTGGCACACAGCCAGCCCCGTCAACCCGACATCACAGGAGGCTGCGAGCAGGCTACACCGTCACAACGCAATGATCGTGACCAAAACGGTATGGCTCACGAAACCAGAAACACTCACTCTGACCCTCTGCAGAGTAGGTTCACTGGCCCCAGGCCTGCCATGCCCTCTACCGACCCAGGACAGGACCGAAGCAGCCATGGGGCACAGCCCAAAGCACAAGACTGAAGAGGAACTGGACCAAAACAGGAGGAAATACCCAGATGCCGATCTCACACTGGGAGCTCAACCACAAACCAATGACCCGCTTGTGCTCCTGGCCACCAAGCTCCCAGAACAGGAACGACAGCCAGGCTGCAAGCCTCTCTCACCTCCCCCAGCCCCAGTTCTGTCATTCTCCAACGGGGACGACACTGAGCTCCAAAGGTTTGGGGAAGCAGATGAGAAGCACTCACACCACTTCCCACGCGGCTCCAGCTGGGCTGCGGAGGGAAACACAGGTCGAGTCCCCCACTCACCAGGCACATAGACGGAGGGGTTCTCTGACATGCCAGGCAGGGGCTGGTAGTCATGAGGCCTGCGGATCTTCAGCGACTGGCCCTGGAAGATGATGCCATCGAAGGCCATGGCCTGGGTGGTCTCGTCCACGGAGCGGAACTGAAAGACAAAGGGGTGGTGAGGGTCAGGGAGTCCAGCAGACAGCAGCCTGCGTCAGGCCCAGGACAAACAAGGGCTGCTACAGAGCCACCGGAATGGGAGGACACCTTCCTGAGCCCACCACGGACCCAGCTCACCTCCAAGAAGGCAAAATTCTTGTCCTGGTTAATCTGCACAGCCAAGACGGGGTTGCCAGGGGCCTGGGTCAGCCCCCCAAGGCGCATCTGGGCGTTGAAGAAATCCATCATGGCCTCCTGCAGAGGGAATAGGAGACAGGGGGGGGCGGGGAAAGGGAGGTGGAGAGAGGAGGGGAGGGTGAGAGAGGGAGACACAGACGGGTTTGGGGGTGAGGGGAAGGGAGGAGGGGAAGGATGGAAGAAGGGAGGGAACAGTGGAATAGGGGTGGGGGCAGAGAGATCAATAGTAGGAACAAAAGCAATAGAAAAATGAGAGAAAACAGGGAGAAAAAGAGGCAGAAGCAAGAGACAGCCAGGGGCCAGGGGTGTGGGGAGGGCCGCAGGGGCCCCAACCAGAGGAGACACGTTGTTCACGAAAAGTGCAGGGAGACAGCGACAATGAGAAAAGAGTAAAAAGCAGGAAGTAGAGAAAAGAGAAGATGACATGTAAGGAAAAAAGCATCCGAAGACAGTAAGAGAAAAAGGTTGAGAAAGCAAGGGGAAAAAAAAGCCAGCAGAGACAGAGAGAACCAAATCCGAGAGAAAGAGGAGCGACGGGACAGGGACAGGGACAGGGACAGGGAGGGTGGAGGGGAAGAGGGCAGGGGGTGGGAGGGCGGGCGGGAGGGGAGGAGAAAAGAGTGATGTGGCGGGATCTGGCCCTGGAGTCCGGGGGCTGCTTTATCAAACGTAGCAAAGTGCAGGTTGAGAAAGTCAGAATGGACCTTACTTGCCTTCGACGACGGTAGCAAACTTTTTGTTGCTACGAGGGATCTCAGCCCCACAATATTTCACTTTAAAGAGAAATGGAAACAACTCTTTGATCTCGGGATTCTCGGGGGTGCCACGGGAAGGGGTCGGGGAGAGGGGGAGGGGTGAGGAGTGGCAGGGAAGGTCGGGGAGGTCAGGGCCATCAAAAACAAAAGAGCAGCGACCATGGGAGGGACGTGGGGAGAGGATGGGAACAGGCGGCAGAGAACCAGAGGCGTGTCAGAGAAAACTGAGGGGAGCGTGCGTCTGTGTGTGTGTGTGTGTGTGTGTGTGTGTGTGTGTGTGAATGCGCGCGCACGTGCCAGTCTCCCTCTCTGTCTCTCTCGAAACGGACTCGTGGATTTTCGTAGGTTCGTTATGTGTGTGCTTGATCCCTGGGTTGCTGGAGGAGGTTGGGAGAGGGGAGACGGGAGAGGGGAAGAGGGAGAGAGGGAGAGGGCCACCCCCAGCCCGGCCCCTGGCTGGCTCAACTCCATCGGTCCGTCTGGGAGGGGGCCGGGGGGCCTTGCAGGAGCAGAGTCTGACCCGTGCAGGTTGGGGGAGGGAAAGGGGAGGGGAGGTACTGGGAGGGGAATTGGGGAGAGGGTAGGGGCAGGGAAAAGGCAGGGGGCGGGCAGTACCTCAGTGATGCCAAAGGGGATGTTGCCCACGTAGAGGCGGCGGGCCTGTCTGGTCATCTGGCTCCCGACCACGGGCACCGGCGTCGGGGTCACAGCCAGGCCATCAGGGGTCATGGTGGGGAGAAGAGCGGTGGCTGGAATCTGACCCGCAGCTTCGAGAGGGGCAGAAGAGGATTAGACGGCAACAGGGTGACCCCCTACACCCCCCCCTGTCCAGGGACCACATGGACCACTCCCACCGAGGCCCCATCCAGGCTCCCAGCACCTCCTCCAGGGGAGGCTTCAGAAAAGCAGGAGCCAGAGAGCGCAGAACAAAAACCTCCCCCCTCCCCCCAGGCCCTCAGCCACCCCGCAGGTTAAATAAGGAGGCAGCTAAGGAGGCAGCGGCCCCGCCCACCTTGCATGGCCTTGTACTGCATGGGGGTGATGTGCTCGAAGCCAGGTGGCGGTACATCCCAGTATTTACGGACCTTCTTCTTCTTCTCGTGGCGGGGGGAGCGACTGGGAGGGCGGGAGGGGAGAGCGGGGCAGGACCACCTCAGTCTGACCAAAGGCGGGCCTGAGAGCCCTCCAGGCTCCAGGTCCCCCCCACCCCCCCGGGCCCCCCAGGAGCAGTGCAACTCTCTCCAGGAGGGAGAGGATCTGGGTCAGGGCCATGCCCAGGCCTGGGGGAGGTGCTGGTCTCAAGGCAGTGCTTGGGCCAGGGCTGGACAGGACAGGGCAGAGTGCAGGGGGAGAGAGGGCAAAGGGGAGGGGCGTCGGGGTGGAAGGGGTAGGAAGAGCAGCTCACATCAATCCACCGTGCTCCTCTTTAGCGCCTCTGGTCAAAGGTTTGCTGGGGGGTGGGAGGGAAAGGTATGGAGAGGGGTGACTGGGGACCCTTGTCTTCCCCACACGCCACACCTCCCCGAGGGCTCGGAGCAGGGCCGAGGTGAACAGGCAACGAGCAGGCCCCCTCGGCCCTGCCATTCCCCACAAGCCCCCCACCCCAGGAAAGAGGAACTGCAGGAGATAGAGCCACACAGACTACTTTCTACTTGGAGAAACTAAGATGGAAGAAGACAGAACTTCCACCTGTCGGCCCTTTCTCACCTAAGGGGACAGAGAACAGAGAGGGGAGCCTGCCTGGGAAGGGAAGAGGCATTAGAAGAGCAGAAAGCAGCCGGGGGAGCGGAGACGCTGTCTCCCCTTCAGAGCTCCCTGTTCCCAAGAGGCAGAGCACAGGCCTCAGAACCACAGGGAGACGGCGGGGACAAAGGAACGTGCCCTAGGAGACAGGGCTGCGGCAGCCCTCACAAAGCAGACAGTCGATGCCTTGATTCCAGACTCACTCCAAGAACCTACTGCCCCCACTACCCTCTCAGAAACTAAAGAAAACTCTGGAAACAACTGAACTCAAGACAGATGAACCCCAGACCCTTCCCCCAGACACACAGAGAGGAACCACAGAGGCCCAGGCACACCAGGTGAAAGTGCAGGGACACCCCACGCCCAGGCTGGCCCACCCCCACCTGGGCCCAGCCAGGGGTCCCCGAGCCCTGGTACCTTCGCCGCCGCCTGTCCCGGGAGGCGCTCCGCTGGTCCCGGTTGCGCCGGTCCCGGCTCCGGCTCCGGCGCTTGCGGTCCCGGCTTCGAGAGCGGCTGTGGCTACGCTTCCGGTGCCGGTTCTCCTTGTCTCGCTCTGAGCCAGGGGAGGGGAGGAGACTGAGCTGAGGGAGGACAGGGCCCAGCCCACCCGCTCACTGGTGGCTATGCCCCAAGCCCCAGGGAGGCCACCCCCAAGGGGAAGGGATGCAATGGAGAAGGGGAGATAACAGGCTTCCTAGGTCCACAAGCGAGTCCAGGGACCTTGGGGGACCACGGGGACGGGAGCTGGTTACCTGAGGGGACAGGGCCTGGAAATGCCCCCGGGGTGTAAGATACCTGAGGATGCTCAGGAGGAGCTGGGGAGCCAGAGAAGACAGAGGAGGCTGGCTCCTGGTCCCCCTCGAGGGCTGAGGGGCCTGACCCCAGGGTCGTCCCTGAGAGGGGCAGGGCTAGAGGCTGGGGAATCAAGAGACCCAATCATGTTTTCCTGAATGAAGGAAGCTGGCGACCCCTCAGGAAAGACCTCCTCACCGGCTGGCACCCACAGCCCCACCATCAGGCCCCAGACAGACGCGACAGCCCCAGAGAGCCAGGACCCCCAGCGGTCTCTTCCCAACCAGTGAAGAATACAAGACGCCCTCCTCTAGGCAGGTGCACCTTCCTAAACCTGGGTTACAGAGGAGGTGCCTGCACCTGCCCACTGCCCCTCACAGGCTGGCATCCCAAACCACCCCTACCTGCCACCGTCCCTCAGAGCCGGCACAAGAGGATCCAGCCCCCAGGCGACTTAGCCTTGCAGGTGGCGCCTAGAACAGAGCACAGCCTTGCCCATAAAACCAGAAACCTCTGCTCAACAGACCTCTCGCCCTGGGAAGGAGGGCAGGCCCTGTCACAGTGCACTTCCTTGTCCTTAGTTCAAAGACACCCGGACTCCCCGGCTACCCAGGTGCAGGAAGAGACAACACGGACGGGCGTCAAGTGGACTTTGGCCTCATCTGTACTATCTTACGCTACACACCTCCTCAGACACGAACTTTCTACAAACAAGTCTCGACTCCTGAACCACTCAGGAAAAGTGCTCCTTTCTAAGCACCTTAGAAGGATAAAAAACACAGCAGCAAAAACCAAAGAACAGGCTCTATGATCAGTCCCACTTGCTCTCAATCCTCATTAGTGCTTTCAGAAAACACTGCCTGCCGCTGGACCAGTAATGGGAAAAACGGGACACAGGGAGCTCACGTACCTTGCCCGTGGCCAGAAAGCAAGAAAAGGGTGAAACGCTGTAACGTCAGCAAGTACAGTTAAACACCCTGGCACAAGCCCTAACACTGAGCAGGCAAGCAGAACTCCCTAGGGCTTTCCTGGAACTCCTAAGGACAGGTTCTTCACCTCCTTGAAAACTAAAGTAAAAAAAACAAAGACTGGAAGCAACATAAAGCAGGAGGCAAACGCCGAGGCCCGGCACTGGCGCAGGGAGGCGCTGCGGGTTTGGACCGCTGGCTTCACACTTGTAAGACGAGCAAGCTAGGAGCCCCAAGCGCTTTTCCTGCAGCTGAGGCTCTGACACAGACAAGCAGGCAGACGGACCGACAGGAAGCGGTGATGCCTGCTGAATGGCTGGGAGCGGACAAGGAACTTCATTCCCTGGAGACAAGGTGCCGCACACGGGCAGGGGCTGAAGCTCAGAGGCTGGCCCAGAGACAAAGACCCCCAGGCAGGGCAACACATGGCCAGCACTTCTGGCCTCCAACATGAGAAAAGGGGCTTCAATGCTCAAAATGCTGTGGACACTCTGTGGGAGCCCAGGGGACATACCAGGGCTGCGGGCCTGGCCTCCTAGTGCCAGTGGGGACACCTGCAGAGAACCCGGGCAGCACATGTGCCAGCGCCTCACACAACTCCACCAGCTCCACCTGGCAGCCCAGCCAACCACAGCTTGGCCCTGCAGCCAGCCAGACTTGGGATGGGTTTCAGCCTTCGCCTCACCAATGTGTCTAGAACCCGGTAAAAACAACCCAACCTTCCTAAACACGGGTTACATCTACCCCAGGTGTGAGGACTTGGCAGAAACATCTGGAAAACACCTTTCCCTGACAGTAGCAGCGGAGAAAGTAAAGACATACATCTCCTCAAGTAAGACATTACACTAAGAATAATCTCAAAACAAAAGAGGGATCACTTAACGGGCACTTAACACATGCCAAGCCACACGCCACACATTCGTGCATGCTTACCCCCATTTAACCTCAGCTCTGCCTCCCAACAGCTAAAACCTGGGAAAGCGCTTAAATTTTGTGAACCACTTTTCTCCTCTGCAAAAGGAAAGAAATCATCAGCCTCAGATGGCGATTACAAGAATCCGCTTAACAAACTGCCTGGCACTTGACAAGTGCCCAGAGCTTAACTATCAAGAATTGTTACTATCAACCTCGTTAATTCCAAGACCGCGGCGACGCAACAAGGAGTTAACGTACGAACGGACAAGACTAACACACAAATACGGAGGCAACACAGATGCTGGGCAACACAGCAGGTGTCTGACCCCAGGAAGGCCCAACTCCAAAGCCCACATCACGTACAGACACGCCACGTGCGCTCTTCCCAGGCGCTGTCTCCTAAGCCAGCCACCCCCGACCGACCTCGGACAGGGTTCGCTGCGCCCCCCGTTCAGCCCTCCCAACACGGGCAGCTTCAGGCTCAAATCGAGCTAAATACAAGGCGAATTCTTGCAATGCTTAACGACTGTCGTCGTCCTGACGTTCTTGCAACCCCCGTGCTGCTCCGAACCAGCACGACCTCACGACTTGCTAACTCGTATCACCGGGGGCAACGTCCTCCCGCCCTCATCTCCACGGCGACCAGATTTAGGAGGGGGAATCTGTGCCCAGAGACTGGGACTGGATAGGACGTGGGGACCTCTCTCTAGCAGGGAGGGGACAAGACGCAAACACATCGCGACCGTCAGGACTGCCAGGGTGTCGGAAGGACGCACGCGCGTCCTCTCACGAGCCACACCGCGTCACGCCAGCCGATACCCGACCAGCGCGGGAGACAGTCCGGGGCCCACGTGAGGGGGTTCGCAACCGCCATTTTGGAACAAAGGGGGCGTGGAGACCCGGGCCGCTGGCCCGGCCGGAAGCGGAAGTGCCGGGGCAGCGGGAAGAAAGAAGGCTTTGCGGGATCTATTACCAGTTACCGCCTTTCAGTTTAAAAAAAAAAAAAAAAGAAAAAGAAAAAAAAGAACGGGAAAGAAGATGAGGAGTCCGCGAGGGAACACCCAGCTAGCCCGCACCGCCTCCGCCGCGGACCACGTGGGGTGCAGACCGGAGCGAGCCGCGCATGCGTCCAAGACCCGCGCCCGCCGCCCCCTCCTCTCCTCCCCTCCAGCGCGCAGCGGCACGCCGGGTGGTCACGTGAACAAGGCGCGCGCCACGGAGGGGGGGGGAATGCGCAGCGCGGCCCTGAAAGGAGGGGGAAGAGAGGGGGGGAAAATGGCGGGGGACACGGAGAGAGGCCTGGAGCCGCCCCGCCCGCCGCCCCGCGACCCCAGCGCCCTCACCTTGCTTATTCTCGTTGAGCTGCCGCTCGAACTCGTCGAAGTCCGACATGCTGAGGCGGCCGCGTAAGGGCCCTGTGCAGCTCCGGCCTCGCCTTGCCGCCCGCCCGCTCCGGCCGCTTCGGCTACTTCCGCCGCGCGCTTCGGCTACTTCCGGCCGCCGCCGGCACTCCGCCGCCTCCTTCCTAATCAAGCCCGGGCCGCCCGCCCCGCCCCGGCTCCGCCCCTCGCCCCGCCCGCCAGCCCACGAGGTGTCCCTCCCCCCCGGCCGAGCCTGGCTCCCAAATAGCGTCGGCTATTTCCGGACCGTAGGAGAATTCTGGAGCAGCAGCTTCGGCTTCTTCCGAAAACACCCGAAGCGAGGATTTCGCTGGCTTCCCAGGCTATCGTAACTTTTCGGAAACTAGCTCCTCCACGTTCGGGTGTTTCCGTAGGTTAGCGCGTTCCTCGGCGCCCAGCCCCCTCCCCCCACCGCCAAGGGTTCGGCTTCTTCCGACAATTCAAACCGTCCCAGTCTTTGGCTGCTCCCGACGATTTTCCCCACTCTTCTCCGCTGACCCTATCGAGCTACTTCCGCCAGTCGTAACCGTGCCGGACTTCTGCACTTTCTGTAGACCTCCAACACCCACTCTCGGACTCAGCCAGAGGATTAAATCGGATGCCAAGCTTCGGCTCTTTCCGGACACTGCACTCACTCACTCACTCCTCCCCTTCCGGAGAACTTCGGCTCCTTCCGCCACCACTTCGGGAAGGCCTCACTCACGGGAGACAGCTTCGGTTTTTTCCGGCAGCGCTTCGGCTCCTTCCGGCTTCGGGAAGCGAAAAGGGAGGGAGGACAGAGGGGAGGGTGGTCAGGAGAAGGGATACAGAAAGAGGGCGGGGTCCCGGCTCTCTGCACCTGGCTCTCCTGTTGGGGAGAGTGGAGGAAAAGAAGGGCTGATCTCGCGGAGGGCCTCAGAAGGTTGCGCGAGACAAAAGCTGCCAGCGAGGTGAAGGGTGCGCGCGGCCGCTGCGGAGGTTGCCAGCGCGGCTTTGTGCGCCTGCGCACAGTGGAAGCGGAGGGACGCGAGATGGGCTTCTGCGCCTGCGTAGAGGTCGGTCTGAGTTGAGGTTTCTCACTGATCCGGGAGGCGAGCGGGTTCCAGAGCCCCCAGCACGCGTGCGCGAGGCTTTCCCTTCCTCCGGGAAGGGTACCGAATTCCAGGCCGTTAAGCAAGGCCACCCGCTCCTGGTTGCCGTGGCAACCGCGTCAGCGCGCCCGCCCCCTCCCATAGCGCAGGCGCAGCAGGCATCGTAGCGGGCGCTTCCGGAAGGCAGTACTCTAGCACTACCGCCTCCTGGCGGGCGGGTGCCGGAGCCTCCGCCCAGACGTGCAATTTCTCCCTTCCGCGGTCGCTCCCGCTGGCGGTCATTGAGTCCCCGTCTCCAGCCCCCGCGCCTCTAGTCGAGATAGCCCCGCGGGTGGTGTTGACGCCTCCCTTCCCGAGCTCTGCCCCTCCGAGTTCTCGGGGGCACAGCTGCTTCGGCTCCCCCCGGCCCTGCCTCCGGGGGTGCTAATTACACCCTGTCTCCCCAACCGCCGGCTTCCTGCCTGACCGCCCGCTCCTCGGAGCTCCCCGGAGCCCCGTCACGGTCTCCGCGGCAACGGCCACCCCCTCCAAGAAGAGACCGGGCCTCGTTTATTCCAAATTTTATTGTCTCTCTTTAATTTAAATTCTCTGAATAATTCTTTCTCACTTGGACTCGGGGCAGTCCGGGATGCGGGCAGGGAGCTCCTGGCAGAACGGGCCGGCCTCTCCTCGGGGCTGAGGGTTGACACGGGGTATGTACAGGGCCCGGCCCCGCAGAGAGTCTCGCAGTCCCCCCACCCCTTCCTCCAGGAGGAAGGGCCCGGGGAGGGCATGATCGTGCAGCTCACGGGGGGAGGGGCGCCCGCCTCCAGGAAAGGGCAGACACCGAACCCCTGGGCAGTAGCTCTTGGGCGCCTGGCTAAGTGGACCTCCTCCCCAGGGGATGCAGAGGAAGGGGAGGATGCTAGGAACGTGAGAAGTAAGGATGGGATCAGATCTATATACAAGGGACACGGGGCAAGAGTGGAGATCTGCAGGAGGAGGAGGAGGGGCACACGCAGGAACACACGGCCCACCCCCGGGCCCTCCGGAGGAGCACACCACTCATGCACACGCTCCCCAGGGCCAGGAGGGGCAGGATCACCGCTTGAAGCGGTAGGTGATGGGAAGCAGCAGCTTGCTCTTCTTGAGGGCCTGCACCTTCTTGAGGGTCTCCTCGTCCAGAGCCAGGAAGCAGCGGCGCGAGTACTCGAGCAGGCGCTCCTTAGAGGGGTCGAACTCGCCCACCTCAGCCAGCTTCTCCGGGGCAACGATGAGCAGCTCTGCGATGGGCGTGGTCAGCGCCACCGTGTTGCGATCTACTCGGTGGTGCTCGAAGGCCCGAGACATGCTTTTCAGCTTCTGGAAGGTGCCCAGGATCTTCTTGTAGCGGCAGAGGACACCGTCCGCATCCTTCACTGCAGGGCGGGCCGGGGCGCAGAGACAGACGTGAGAGGACGGAAGGAGACACAGGAGGCAGAGGGGGCACGGACAGCGGGGAGCCCGGTGCAGGAAGAACCACAGAACAAGATGCGCAGGTGGGAGCCATGGGGAGAGCAAGCACCGGGGAGAGGCCTTCCCCAGGCTACTGATGAGGAGCCTGAGGCTGGGCGCAGGGAGACGCCAGGTGGCGAGGCTGGTGAGGAGGGGCCACGGAGCAGGACCGCACGTGCGGGCTGGGACAGCCAGGCCAGGGGAGAACAGAGGGCCTCCTCGAGGTCACAGCAGGCCCGCAGCCCCTGCGCCTTGCTCACCCCGCTGCCTCTCCCGGGCCTTGGGCTTCCCGAAGCGCCTCCGGCCAGCGCTTCCCTTCTGCTTCTGCCTCTTCCTCTCCACGGCACTGCCTTCTTCAGATGCTCCACTGAGCGAGGAGGCCGCGGACTCGGGGTCTGAGGCCTCACCCCCAGCCCCGCCCCGGCCGTCTCCTTCCGCCCGTCTGGGCCCAGGCTTCACCCTGCAGTGGTCCTCTGGACACAGGAAGAAAGACACACACACGCGCGAACTTCCAGAACCAGGAAGAGAAGGAGGCAGGAGGTCCGTCTGCAAGGTGGGGACAGATGTCACGCCAAACACAAGTCTACAGGAGAGGGGGACCTCAACAAGGGCTGGGATCCCCAAAGACATAGTGCGTATAGATGTTGCAGTCTCTGCCAAGATGGCTGAGTACCGTACAGGTGGCCAGATTTGGGAGCAGAGATCATGGGTGGGGCATGGGTTTCTGCTCCTCTGACCCCAACTTCAGACAAGAAGCCTGGGGGAAGGACTGAGAGGATCAAGACAGGACAAGACACCTCAGGAGAGTCTCTGTGGGACCTCCGGAAGACTAGGTTCTAGAAATCTGGGAAGCAAGCGAGGCCTTGGTGGGGTTGGGGGTTTCAGACCCTGAGAGAGATCCCAGGCTGTGGGGCTAGTGGCCTGGGAAAATCAGGTGCCACCTTCACCGGACACAGCATCTGAGGCTCACAAGGTGCCGGGGGGACGTCCCGTGTTGAGGTCCTCACCAAGAAACACCAGAGGCCTCCAGGCCCAACACCCTGGATGGGTTCCCATCAGCATGGAGAGACCGTGGTAGGTCTCAGCAACCAGGCCACAGGGAGTTCCAGACCAGAGGGATCCCCAGGAACCCAGGCGTCAGAAAAAAACAGACCCTTGCCCAGAGTGTCCGGAGTGAATCACAGGGGAATACGGGGTCCTGCGAGGGAGCCAGCCAGGGGCTGAACATCATGTGGATGGGAACAGAAGTTGGACTCTCCAAAAATTAGGAGCTAAAGATCTGGAAAAAGAAAGCCCTGACTCTCTAGGACCCAGGATGGCCACGGGGTCTTGCCCCTCAGCAGAGGCAGGAATCCAGCAGGAAGGAAGCTGGGTGTGGGGTCCTGGAGACTGCCATGAAGTAAGGAGAGCATAAAGATGTCAGGTCCCCACTGGGCCACCAAAAGTAAGAGTGCAGGTGAGGAGGGTGCCGTGTGCCCAGGAGGGGCCTGGGAGTGGGACAGGAGACTAGGTCATCAGGCACCTCACCTGCATCCATGCGGGCAGATGAGATAAACTTGTCCAGCTGACAACGCAGAAAATCCCTCTCCTCCTCCAGGTCCTCGATGCGCTTCTGTAGCCACGAGTTCCTTTCCAGGGCCATGTGCAGCTGGGCCCTGACCCCGTTCATCAGGGCCACAGTCGGGGACGCAGCTTCCGGAGGCTCTAGGGACAGCGGGGAGGCTTGGTCACAGCCCTGGCCTCAAGGGCCCTGCACCCCAGCTGCCTGGGGTCCCTCTGAGCCTGCCCCCCAGCTCACCCTCGAAGTTTCCCCGAGAGGGGCTCAGACTGTAAAAGATCTGTGGGTCTAGGTGGGGCGTCTCATCGAAGGGGATGGAGATCTCGAAGGCCTCATCGTCTTTCTTCACTGGAGGGGAGAGGCCAGGGGTCACCCCAGGGAGGTCCCCAGGTGCCTCGGACCAGCCCCCAACCACAGCAGCCCTGGGAAGGAAAGGGCAGGGATGGGGAGGGCAGCGGTGGGACCAGGGGCGGGGCAGGGTCCCAGCTTCCTCACGTGGCCTCCTCCGGCTGTTTCGGTCACTCATGGCACGGCCGGCCTCCGGCGGACCCGGGCAGCTAAGCGCCTCAGGGGCACTGGACAGAAACGGCAGCCACAGATGGAGGGACATCCCGCGGGAAGTGGGGCCCAACTCCTTAGGGCTGGGGAAGGGGGGGTCGGTGCTGAAGGCCAGGACTCCTGGGTCTGAGGGAGGAGGGGACCCAGACCCTCAGGACCGGGCGGGGACACCGGGTTTCAAACTCCAGGGCTCCCAGGGAATGAGGGGGCTGAGGACCCAGACACCGAGCTACTGAGGGAAAGGAGAAACGGGCTCCCCGCGGCGTCGACTGAGCGGACACATCCTGGCCTGAATGGGGCAGACCCTCATCATGGGTCCCCTCGGGGCCAAAAGAGGCGAGAGGTGCGGGGGGAGGAGACCGTGCCCCAACTTCCAGGCACAGGGTGGGGGTCCGGCCCACGCGCAGCGCCTCCCCACGCCCCTCCCCCGCACTCGTGTGGGGGAGCAGGGTCCCTCCCCCGTGATGGAGGGGGCGGGGCGAGTGCGCAGTGCGGGGGAAGGTCACGCGTGGGGATGCGCCCCCGCCCCCGCCCTTTGTCCCCCGGGTGGGAGGGGGAGCGATGTTGCCAGGGGGGTGTCCCAGCAGGAGATGCGCTAGGCCGCGGGTGCAGCTGTGGCCGCCATCCCCCCGCCCGCAGGTGCCCGGGGTCGGAGGGGCCGGGGCCCCGCGCTCACCCACCCGCGCGCGGAATCCGGCCAGGGGACCGACGGCGGCGGCGCCCATGCCCGGCGCCGGGGAGCGTCTGCAATGTGTCGCGGGGAGTGGAGGGAAGCGCCCACCGGCGGCGGGCGGGCGGGGCGGCTGAGGCGGCGAACCTAGGGGCGGGGTGGCGAGTCGGAGAAGTGAGCAGGGACGCCGGCGATCACCCGGTCCGCGGGTCGTTGCGCTTCTGCTGGAGTCTCCGGTCCCAGGTGAGGCCCGCCGTTTGCGGCAAAGGCCCGAGCTGCACTTGCGCGACGGCCCCTTGTCGCACTACCCCGCCCTCCATGAAGCCCGGGCAGGGAACGTCAAGAAACTCCCAATTTCTGGAGAGCAGGAGGCTCCCGGGTCCCCCGGGTGGGTGGCGACGCACTGAGTCGGGCCCGGGAGAGGGAAGGAGACGACCAGGAAAGTTGAAGCACCGGTGAATCCTTTTAAACGACACCCTGGGAACTGGCCATATGGATCCCCGCAACCCGCCACTCCATCTCCCACCCTTTGTGCACCACCATTACAGCCCGACCACACGGTTCCCAGGCCCGGGGGTTGAGGGGCGGGGGGAGTGTGAGGCGCGTGGACCAGGACCACCACCACCACCACTAGCCCTGTCCCGGTGACTGCGGGCTGGCTTTGGAGCATTCACACCCAATCTTTGCCGCTCCTCCCCCCAACCCCTCTCAGTTTACTCACCTGCGAAGTGGGGAGATTATGGTCCCTTTTAGGTTTGTTGTGAGGAGGTACTGATATGGTGCAGGCAAAACGCTCCGCCCAGCGCCTGGCCATAGTCCAGGCTCAAGATCGGGGCGCTGTGAGTGTTATTTGAGGTCAGACAGTGGGAGGCCCTTTCCCTCTCTGGGGAGTGGAGATGGCTAATGTGTGCTTCCACCCAAAAAGAGGTCGGAAGAAGAAATGAGGCCCAGCACAGTGCTTGGCACAAAACAGAGGCGCAAAGAAAATTCATGAAGAAGGCAGATGTTTATTCGGCTCCCAGCCTCTCCTCCCAGTCACCAGTTGCTACTGGAACTTTTTTTTTCCCTACTGGAATTTTTGCCAGCTCTTTGAGAGCCAGGCTTTAACATTGCAGAAGGAGAATTTAAATGTCTGCACCATTTAGAAAGCTGTGGCCATCCTCCTCTCCAACCAGCTTCACATCACAGATAAACTGCAGCCTGGGCCAAAATGTCCAGGGGGAGGTACGTGATGTTTTGCAAATTACAGGTTCATGGGCAAGGAATTCAATGTAGTAGAACGAAATTAGCAAGAAGGAAAAAAAAATGAACTGCACGTGGCAGAGACAAGTACTGTTAAACTTTTGTTGCACATATATTTTGTGTATCGGTTTACTGGGTTGCCATATAAAACGTGTTTCTTACAAGAGATCCTAGTTTGAAGAAAAAAAAGTTTAACAACACTCTGCCTAGGTGGCACACATTGTAAGGGGCCAAGCTAGGGCTGATCCTATGGCAGAAGGCCAACCTTCCCGTCCCCAGGCAGGCAAGCCAAGCACTGTGGGGATGCCCCGGGATGACCTCGGCAGAACGCTCAGCCGGGCACCTGGCCACAGCCGACGCTCATGAGCCGAGGCGCTGCTAGTGTTATCTGAGGTCAGACGGTGGGAAGCTCTTTCCTTCTCTGGAGAGTAGAGATGGCCGATTTGTTGTTCTGCCCAAAAAGAGGTGGGCCAGGCACTTGCTGAGTCTCAGGCCAAGCCGCTGCCCCCCAAAACAAATCTCAAGTGCTCAAAATGGGAAATGTGTTTATTGGGTGTCCAGTCGCAGGTCCCGGCTGGGGGGTGGGAGGCAGGTCTGGGACCCCTTCCCCCAGCATCAGCACAGGGATGTCAGGAAGCTGGTGCAGATGCCTGATGGCTCCCAACCACGATTTTCAGGCTGGAGAACTTCCACACAGAGCAATGTCTCCCCACACCTTGTCAGGGCTCAGCCTGAGGCTGGAGGGCTCCACTCTGTGAAAGCAGGGCCTCCTTTCCATCTTTATCTCCGAAACTGGAAGGGCCCGAAGGCTACTCAGGGGCTCCTCCTTCAGGCAGGGCTTGACCTTCGCAGGAAGTGTGTCCGTGTCTGTGTCCAGGGCTGCGACCCAGCCTTTGGCACTGGCCAGGTGTCTGAGGGTGACAAGAGTCCGGGCTCCCCCCAGAACCCCATGGCACTGGGGTACCCGGCAGCCTGGCTCACGGATGCTTCCACCGAGTGTGCTTCTGCAGGGTGTTCTGCTCCATAAACCGGCGCGGACAGTGTGGGCACTGAAACGGGCGCTCCCCCGAGTGGACCCGGCTGTGCTGGGCCAGCTCACCGGCCTCACGGAAGCGTCGGGGGCAGAGTGGGCAGCCATGGGGTCGGCCGCCACCAGCCCGGTGAATGGAGTGGTGCCGAGCCAGGTGGCTGGCCCGCTTGAATGCCTTCCCACAGGTGTCACACTCGAAGGGCTTCACCTCCGAGTGGGTGATGCTGTGTCGCTGCAGGTATGACATGTACTCGAAGACCCGGGAGCACACGGGGCAGCTGTAGCACTTTTTCTGAGCCGAAGCCCCATCTGCCCCGGGCTCTCTCTCAGACTCCTGGTCCACCAGCACGGTGTACGGGATGCCCTGGGTGTCAATAAGCAGGTAGTGGTTGGGCCTCGGAGGGGAGGAAGGCTGGGGAGGTCCTGTGGAGGAGGAAGGTCCAGGCTCTGGGGACCTGCCTGTCCGGGATGGAGGAGCCTCCATGGCCTCTGCGGACGGAAGTGCCAGGGGCTGCGGGCAGGGGGGCGATGGCAACACCAGCATCCGGAGGGGTGGCTGAGGCCTGGGGGACGGGAGAGAGGATGAGATAACATAGAGGAGGGAAGCTCGGGACTCCAACTCCGTTCTTTACCTTCTGTGTACCCTGCCCAGAACCTCTGCACTCCCTCCCCGCCCCCCTTCTCTTCTCCAGTCCGTCTGCCCTGGACTCTACGACCTTCTGTGAACCTCCTAGGGTCTCTGTGCTAGGAAAGCCGCTCCTGTCCTCTGTTCCATCACCCACTGTACACACAGGCACAAGCAGGTCCTCGCTCTAACTTCCCTCGTCGTACCCTCCTCCGGTCACTAGGTGCCCCTCTACTCTGGCCACCCGCAAGGCTTCTCTACTCCCACCCATCCTCCCCCCTCCCCACTAGGTCTCTCTCTCCTTCTCTATGCTCCTGACCCAGGTCTGGGCGTTAGCCCACCCTATCACTCCGCCCAGGAGTCTTTTCTACGCCTTCTGTATTTGCCCAAGCTCTAAGGCCCCCCAGGCCCTGACCCGCCATCCAGCAGCCTCCCGGGACTCCCCTAAGCCCCTCTCCTAGCTCGGCGACTTGCAGATTCTCTCCAGTCCACGCCCATCCGCTCCCCCCACCCCCACCCAAGTTCTCTCTAGGTCCTAGCACTCTCTAGGGCTCCACCCCTGGTCCGCGGCCCGGCCTTCGAGAGCCTTTCGCGGCGAGTTCGCGGCGGTGCCCTCCCGAGCCCCCGCAGCGGCCCCGCCCCGCCCGGCGCACAGGTCCCCGCTCCCGGCCCCGCCCCTCTCCGCGGCCCGCTCCCTGCTCCCGCCCGCCTCCCGGCCCCCGTACCCGGTGCAGCAGCCTCTCGGGTCCGGGCGACTCCGGAACGGCCCGGGACTACCCCCGTGGTCGCAAGTGGTGGCGGGGCAGGCGCCTCTGGGTGCCCCCCGGGAGCTGGTAGCACAGGTAACAGAAGAGAAGACCGGGGCCCAGAGAAGAGGGTCCAGGGGAGGAAGGTGGGGGCGGGGCGCCTGGGCCTTCTGGAAACGGATCCGGCCAGAAACACACGCAGAGAGTAAGGTTCCCAGGTGCTAACGGTCCGGGCCACCCCCTCCGACGCCGCTGCCCACACCCAGCCCCTCCACACACACACGCAAATAAAAGCCCTAAAGTGGAGTGCGGAATGTTTATTGAGTAAGGGGTGAGGGCTGTGGGTGAGAAGGGGAAGATACAGAAATGAGCCAGACCGTGCCGTGCTCTTTTGTCAACTCTTCCGCGCCGAAAACCGTTCACCGCCTCGGAGGGGAAGCCCGAGCCTCAGAGAGGTCGCGTCACTTGCAGAGGCTCACACAGCACAGCTGGCCCGGAACCCAGCTCCGAGACTGGCTCCCAGGCCCAGGGAGGGGCAACGACTTGGTCTACATCACACAGCTAGACAGACAGGAAGGTAAGGAAGGAATGGTGTTTCTCCCCTTGGACAGATGGAGAAACTGAGGCCCGGGGTAAGGCAGTAACCTCAAGAGAGGCAGGGAGCGTGTGTGGGAGCGACACTGTGGCTCGCGAGGCCCCGCGTCGGGACCTCAGTGCAGACGCACGTGCTGCGCCAGCTCGGCGGCGTCCTGGAAGCGGCGCGGACACAGCGGGCAGGTGTGAGGCGGCCCCGCGCGTGCGCGGTGCGTGGCGCGGTGCCGCGACAGGTGGCTGGAGCGCTTGAAGGCTTTGCCGCAGGCGCCGCACGTGAAGGGCTTGAGGTCCGAGTGCGACACGCGGTGGCTCTGCAGCCGCAGAGGGCTGGCAAAGACACGGGCGCACTCCGGGCAGCTGTAGCCCTTGCGCGGGCCGGGCTCTCCCGGCGCCGCCTCGCGCTGGGGCGGGCCCCGGGGCTCCTCCTCCAGCTGCACCGTGTATGTGTAGGGGACCCCGTTGGCGTCGATGAGCAGGTGGCGGCCGAGCCGCGGGGGTCGGGGCCCTGCCGCCGAGGATGGAGTGGAGGAAGGGCCTTCCGTCTTGGGGAAAGGGGGAGCCTTGGGGGGCGGTGGGTCCATGGCCTCTGGGGAGGAGGACCGAGGGTGCGGCGGCCGAGGCGGCAGCAGCAGCATCTGGGGTGTCAGCTGGGAGCAGTGGAGGGGAGAGAGATTAAAATCGCCGCTTCCTGGGGGAAGTGTCCCCGTTATCACTGCTTGCCATGCCCTCTGCACCACTGACCTACCTCTCCTGCAAAACAGAAACCGACTCTAGGCCAGACCGCGCGTTCCACCAAGCTGCTTCCAGGACACCTCCAACTGGGCCGGGCACATCCCTGCCTCTCTCCTCCTGCGGCTTCCTCTCAGCACCCCCCCCGCCCCAGCAGGACCAGAGGTCTCCATGCCACCCCTTTCCTTCCCCCCAACTCCCCCACAGCCTGTGGGTCTCCAGCTCGGCTTCCTGTCTTCACACCTCAGTGGCCTCTTTTATTTCTAACGGGCCCTCCTCCTCCTTCCCAGGCCCAGGCAGGGGCACCCGGTTCCCCGGAAGGCCTGCCCACTTCTGGACACACCCGTGGCCTCGCTTCGCTCCCTTTCTTGGTGCATGCCCAGAACGCCACTAACCCAGTTCCCCAATTTCCACTCTGGGCTCCTCTACAGCCGTGCACTTAGCCCTGCACGTAACCCCTCCGAGTCTCGCTGCCCTCGCCCCCGCCTAACCCATTGTCTGCAGTTCGTGTACACATCCCTAGGACGCCTCAGCCGCCTGCCTTCTGTGCGCCCCACGCCCTGAACTCTGCTACCATCTAACCCCCCCGGGCACCCCCACCCCCATCCCCACCCCCACGCTCCATCCTTGCTTTTTTCTGTCTTTACTCCTCAGGGTCTCCTACTCCCGTTGCTCTGACCCGGACCTCCGAGCCCCCTTCTCCCTCCTCTCCGTGAGCATCTGGCACCTCCGTTTCTCCACCCCTGCAGCCCGCTCCTCTGCAGCCCCAGGGCCCAGGCCCTCCGTGCCCCTAGTCGCCGCACCCTCGGGCCCCTCTCTGCCTCCGGTACCCCTCCCCCTCCCGCCCCCGCCCCCACCTGGGGCTCCTTCCCGGCCGCGGCCCGCCCCTCCCCCAGCCCGGCCCCGCGCCGTCCCGGAGCCAGGCTCCTCCCTCCGTCCCGGCCCCCGTACCCGATGCAGCGGCCTCTCGGGACCAGAGGAGTGGGCCGAGGTCCCGGGCGGCCCGGGCTTCCCCTCGCGAGTGCCGGCGGCGGAGGGACCGAGACTTCCGGGAGCTCCGGGCCGGCGGCGCCGGGGACGCGGGCGCGGGGGGCGCGGGCGCGGGGGCGCGAGGGGCGGCGGCGTCGCTGGAAAAGGGCACCCTCCGGAAACGCGCACGCCGCGACTAAGGTTCCGCCGCCCGTGGGCCGGCCGCTCCCACGGTCAGCTTGCCGTGAGCCCCGCGGCTGCGGGCGTAGGGCGGGGGGCTCCACGGAAACAGCCCTGCCCCCGCCCTCTCTCCGCACCCGACAGGAACTGTCCGGCCGCTGCTACAGAGATCGATTAATAAACGGGCGAAGCGGTCTGTCTTCGCCCGATGTCCCTCAAGGAAGGGGCGTGCCTAGGTCTGTCCAGTTGCCACTGGGCCGTCCCACCTGCGCCCCCTGCCCGGCGCCGCAGAGAATAAGGAGGGAGTTTCTCTCCGTCGGGCAAACAGGGAGACCGAGGTCCAGGGGCCAGCCACTACTCTCCCGCCCAGCAAGTGGGGGAAACCGAGGCCCACAGAAGGCCAGACGTCACCAGTAATAGAGATGGGGAGCTGGGCCATTGCCCACTGGACAGATGGGGAAGCCGAGGGCCACGGGCCAGAAGTTGCTAAATGTGGAGCTGGAGAAGGGTGGCTCTTCGCATTGGGCTGATGGGGAAGTTGAGCATTAATGGCGCCTGGGAAAAGCGCGGTGCCCAGAGGGAAACGGAGGCTGGGCGGCAGCGCCCCGGTGCATGCGTGCGTGGTCACTGCGAGGGGGCGGGCAGCACCTCGAGCTTCGAGCTGTGGCTCGGCAGACAGCCGCACTGCCCCACGTGGGACGCCCGCAGGTCATCCTGCAGTCACACTGGGAACTGTCAGAAGGGCAGGGAAGCAGTGTGGCTGGAGAGGGGACAGCAGCAGCAGGGCCAGCAAGGCGGGAGAGGGGCCAGGGAGTGCGCAGAGAAGGGAAGGGGCGTTATTTCTGAGCCCAGCGCCAGAACCTGGGCAAGGTGGGAAGCGGGCAGAGCAGCATCCTAAAGAGCTATCAAAAAAGAATTTCCTGCAATGATGCGATGATGGGAATGTTCTATGACCTTTGCGCTGCCCAGTGGGACGGGACATCCACTAGCCAGTGGGGCCACTGTGCCCTTGAAGTGGGGCTACTGTGGCTGAGGGCCTGAATTTTAAATGCTATTTCTCTTAATTTAAATCTAAAGAGCCACAGGTGGCTAGTGGCTGCCCAGTATGGGACAGCTCCTAAGCCACCCTCAACCAGTTGCAAACCGGAGACAGGAGTGCCAGAAAGGACTCACAGTTGTATTCGGTTTGGACCACATGCTATTTTTCAGTGTTTTACCGGGGGGGGGGGGGGAGCAACATTTAAGCAGCCAGAAAATGGACACACACATTCAGAATCCCAGGCACACTTTGGGGGAAAAAAAAAGTCTAGATGTGGCAAGAAGGTGGAACTGAGAAAGTATTCTTAAGAAAACCTTCCAGAAACCCCCAAGTGACTCAACATTCGTGATACGAGGTTAACATTAAAGACCGTCTAGAATTGTGTTGTCCAAAACAGCAGCCACCCGCCACATGTAGCTTTCAGATGCCTGACAAGTATCCCGTCTGAATGGAGGTGTGCTGTAAATAAACACAAGGCACCCAACAGATTCTAAAGACATAGTTCAAAAAGAAAAGAGGATCAACTCTGGCACAAATGACTTTTATATTGATTACACTTGGACATCAGAATACTTTGGATATATTTGTTTAAGTAAGGTATGTTATTAAAATTGATCTCACCTTTTTTTGTTTTTTCACGTTTTTTAGTGTGGCTCACGTTGTTTCTGCGGGACAGCACTGTCCTGGAGATTCTTGCTCTTGTGATCTCACAAGGAGCCAGGCAGCCGGGAGAGCGGAGACCCGTGAACTGAGGGCATGCCTGGTGTAAAGGGCAACTGCACCATCTATCTACACCAGCTTCAGCTTCTCAACTTCAGCACTACTGATACCTGGGGGCCAGATCATCCTCTGGTGTCAGGGCTGTCTTCTGCAATGTGGGACACCCAGCAGGATCCCTGCCCTCTACCCTCCAGAACCCAGCAGTGTCCTCCCTCACCCCCACCCCCTCTTGTGAAGGCAGACATGCCAAATGTCCCCTGGGGCAACACTGATTCTGGTCTACACAGACAACTACCCAGTGAGTCTCCTACCCAGATCCCTTTCTTGAGTTTTGGATGCATAGAACTACCGAATCTGTGAGAGCCGCACCACCCCAAGCCCAGCCCTGGAAATGACAATGACCAACATATACTGAGCCCGACTAGGTGCTAGTCTTTGCTAAGGGTACCACAGCCCCGGAGCAGACCTACGAGGCAGGGGTCGTGAGGTGCCTTTCACAGACGGGGCAACTCAAGCTGGGCGAGATCATGTGATTGGCCTGCGTCGTGCTGTCCTCAGGAGAGTTCTTGCCTCTGCCTGACTCAAGTCAGAGTCGTGACCACTGTCTGCAAGCAGCTCACACCTCCCCCCAACCCACCTCCACCACCCCACTGCAAACCAGTTTGCCCCCCCCCTCGCTGACTGTGAAAGCCACCCACCCTCTGCCTCCTCTAGGACCTTTTTATGGCAATACTCCGGTATATCTTTCTTAAACCCACGGAATCATGTCATTCATTCCCTGACTTAAAACCCCCCTCTGTGCACTCAGAATAAAACCTGCAAACCCCCCAAGCACAGTGCAGCCCCCAACCTCTCCCCGTCTCCAGGCCTTTGTCTGCTGTCCTCTCTGGAGTACTACTTTTAGCCCCTCACGAGGACGGGCCCTTTCTGGCCAGCCTGGGCTCGGCTCAGGTAATATTTCATCATGGAAGCTTTGCTGTGTTTGAGGTCAAGCAGGGGACGCCCTGCTCCGCCTCATCAGCCTGTTTCTTTCACATCCCATACAGCACTCCACAGCGGTCTTACTTACTGGGTTACTGTTTTCCTGTCCACCTCTCCCACTCTCACAAAGATAGAGTTCTGTCCTGGTCCACATTCTATCCTCAGAACCTGGCAAAGGTCTCAGGAGAGGGGAGGGGCTCCATTCAATTTTGGCTGAATAAATGATTTGAATCACCCGGCCAAAAGTGAAGCATGATCTCCTCTCCCCACCAAAAAAAAGCCTGCACCTCTCCTGGGATGTGGTCATGATGAAGCCCGGATGTTCGATGTCCTCACTTCCCCCCCCAACTTCCTCGACCCCCCAGAGCCAGACAGCAGCACGTTGTGTCCCGCCCTCCGAGACGCTCTCCCAGCCCCAGCTCTGGCCCCGTCCTCTATCGTCTGGGCCCCATACCAGCCTTCTCCCTGGTGCCCTGGCCTCCACTGCTTCCAGGCTGATCTGCCAGAGACTCCTCACAGCTGTGTCAAACGTGACCTCTGTACCCTTGGTAGCCTTGTCACTGTCCCCATTACACTAAGGACCAAGCCCCCACATCCCTCACCCTGGGATCTGAGGCCCTCCGTGAGGCCCTTCCTTCCGGCCTCACGGCCATCCCCCTCCTCGGCCCCAACCGCACACAGCACCTCACAGCCCCCGACCTGGCTCCGGGTGCAAAGGCTCATGTTTTCCTCGGCCTAGACTGTTCCCCTTCCCTCTGCTGGGAGCGTCCTCCTCGGTCTTCCAGAATCCTGTGTGTCCTGACCTCCTAAAAGCCCCGCTCACCAGCTCCAGAAGGAGGCTTCTTACACCTCGTCTGCTTTGGACCCTCCCCGGCTGTGCCTGGCATCCCAGGCCTCAGTCCACGCTTCACATTTTGGAGCATTGTGCCTCTGCTCGTGTTCACTGGCTGGCATTCCCACCCCCCTTCTGAGATCAGAGAAATACCTTGGCCCTCGGCAATCTCTCCCGCCTCATCTGCGACCGATTACCCACGTCCCTCAAACCTCCATTCACAGCATAGACGGGGCCCTGCCAAGTCCTTAGTCATCTGGTGAGGCAGGCACTCCACCGAGCTTCAGGAAGGGCCAGAGTCCTGCGTCACATCTCCAGCCCAGGTGACAGAGACAGCACTCACACCCGGTGCCCAGCATCCTCACGTCCTGCCCCAGCCTGCAGGCTGAGCCCTGCCTCCTTCAAGAAGTCTCCCTGGACTACTCCCTCCCCAAGGTGTACCATCCACTCCGCATTAGCGTGCGTTCCCATGTGACAAGCCCTTCTCCCCTTCGGGGAATAAGGTGATTGCCGAGCCTGTGCCTCTGGGTCAATATGGGTCTCCGGAATCCCCTCACCAGGCTCCCTGCCCTCCTCTCCGCACCCCATCCCAGGTCTCCCAGACCCTCCCTCACAGGGCTTCTCAGTCTCCAAGGCCCACTGCCCTTGGGGCCACTCCATCCGCCGCCCCAAGACGGTCATGTCGCCCAAACCCACCCTGCTCCACTGGGCAGGACCCTAACGATGCCCCATCTCCTGCCCCACCCACCGCTCGGAGCCCTGACCCAGCCGCCCTACCCTGGTGTGGCGACCGTTCTGTGAGTGGCTGAAAGCAGGAGTTCCAGGATGCCTCCACCTCCCAGGCTGAGGGAGGCGTGCCTAAGAAAGCTCTCTGGCCAAGAACTCTCAGCCACAAAGGAAACGTTCCTACGTCATCTGGGTTCCAGCCCCGCCCCAACAACTTTAAGACTCAAAATTCACAGTGATTGGAGCCTGTCTCAGCAGGCCCCACGAGTTGCCAAAAATAAGTAATGGAGCAGTAGGTGCTGCCTTTGAACGGTACCTCACACGTGTGGCTCGCTCATACGCCTTCCAGCCCACCTACAGATTGGAAAACTGAGTTCCAGAGCGGGACAGTGATCCATGCCAGGCGACAAAGGGGTTGTGGCAGAGTCCCGGATGCAACATGAGGCTCCGGCCTCTCAGCCCCTGACCAGGGCTGGCTGGGGACCACAAGCCATTCCGTATTTCAGGGATTTGGAAACTGAGCCACAGGTCACACACCAAGTTAGACCCGGGCCTCTACCATCTGTACCAAAAACAAGAGACGCTATGGAGCGTCGGCGGGCTCTCCGCCGTCCAGGAAGTTCCTTCCGGCCTCGCTGTCCCGGACGTACGGGGCCAGCTGCTGGGCATCCTTCACACTCGCGGACAGAGCCGGACAGAGCCGGCGGCGGGAGGGCGACCCCACCCGGGCAGGTGCACGACGGAGGATGCTTTGCTGCGCCCTTTGAAGGCGCGGGCTCCGCGTGGGACGTGCCGCGGCTCCTCGGGTGCGCGCAGCTCGGAAAGACCCGGAGCGCCCTGGCGGGGCCTGGACTCCGGCTGGGGGCTCCTCCCTGCGCTCGCGTAGGGCGCTCCGCGGCCATCCGAAGGAGTCCGAGGCCACCGGCGGGGCGCAGGGAGAGGAGGGAGCCCGCTGAGCGGCGGGAGCCACCCCGAGGAGAGCCGGGGCCCCGAGCCTGGGGCAGGGCGGACGGATTACGGGGAGTTCTCCCCCCGCAACTCACCGACTCAGAGCCTGTGCGTCCCGCGGCCCCAGGCCCGGCACCCCGAGCTCGGCCGCGGCTCCTGGTGCCCCGCAGTTTCCTCGGCACCGCCCGGCGCCCCGCGCGGTGGGACGAGCTCGGGGGGCCGCCCCAGGCTGCCCGCCGCGCGGTGGGGACGCACAGGCAGTCCCGAGCCCGCTCCCGCCGCCATGTGGCCGGATGGCGCCCCGGAAATCCGCCCCTACCGGAAATGGTCTCCCCAAACAACGGTTCCGGCGGCGCGGTGGGAAACAGTCCGTCTGCGGACGGGCAGGTCGTGTCCGCTGCTGCACAGCCAAGACAGGGAGCCAGAATTATTACAGCCCCGCGGCCTTGACACTTAACATATCACTCACCAAGAAAATAGTATTTCCCCTGTGCAGGTGGTAAAACCAAAGCCAGAGAGGGGTCGTCACTGGCCCTGGGTCACACCGCTACTCAGGGCCAGTTAGGGTGATGCCATCCCATCACCTGGAGCGCTGGAGGCAAACGATACCCAGATCTAGAGCACACCCGAACTCTGGGTCTCCACCTGCACAGCCACCCCGGAAGCCCTTCCTTCCCTGAGGGGTCTGCTGGGCCACCTCCTAGGAAGGTCAGGGGTGGACACGGTGAGCCCGTAGTGCTACCCCAGCTGGGCGAGCCAGTGCTGGCAGAGGTTGCTGGAGCGCTTGAAAGTCTTCCCATAGGGTACCCACACTTAGGGCCAGAATTCCAAGTGTGACACACGTGCTGGTGGGGTGGAGCGCGCTCTTACAGGTTTGTAAGTACACCAGAACCCCGGGGGGACTTGGCCCATCTCCCTTTGCGTCATCCTGAGCTGCTTCCTACAGCCACAGTAGGACATGTAGGGGAACACCTCATGGCAGTAAGTGAGTGACTTCTTGAGTGTGGGCGCACACGTGAGGACAGAATAAGTGACCGACTTGCTCTTGTTTGGGATGGGTCCCAGGACTTCCCAGGTTTAAAATGGAGAGGAAGAAACAAAGAAAGGGCACTAAAATAGATGTCTTAGCAGATTTGGCAAATCATTACCATCTGGTTGTAGACAGGGAGTAGAGAATTCATTCCTGATTTACAGAGGGATTATTGAGTGAACTCCCCTGTCCTAAATCCCAGCCGGTACAGAGTTAAAACCCAGGGTCCCTGCCTCCTGGGTAAGGCTTACGGGGATTAAAAAGAAGATCATTCATCATCTTAGGAGGTGAAGGCATCTTTTTCATTATTTTCTCCTGCTTTTCCTGCCACCATAGACCTCCAGCATGCCTCAAGGTTGGAGATCATTCAGTTTGGGATAGAACAGTCCAGAAAAGGGTGCTGCCTTGTCTATTAGAGATGCCAAAGCTAAGCTCTGCAACTGACATCTCTCAACCTGGACATGGGAGAGCTGGGGAAAGATTCCCAGCCATTACTCACTAAAGACATCAGTTTCAGGAAACAATCATCAAAACTAAAAGTCAGCCTATGGAATGGGAGACGATAGTTGCAAATGACATATCTGGTAAAGGGTTAATATCCAAAATCTATAAAGAACTTATCAAAGTCAACATCCAAAAAACAAATAATCTGGTGAAGAAATGGGCAGAAGACATGAACAGGTACGTTTCCAAAGAAGACATCCAGATGGCTAACAGACACATGAAAAGATGCTTCACATCACTCATCATCACGAAAATACAAATCATAGCCACACTGAGATACCACCTCACACCTCACTGTCAGAATTGCTAAAATTAACTACTTAGGAAACAACAGGTGTTGGCCAAGATGTGGAGAAAAGGAATCCTCTTACGCTATTGGGAATGCAAATTGGTGCAGTCACTCTGGAAAACAGTATGGATGTTCCTCAAAAAATTAAAAATAGAGCTACCGTATGACCCAGTAATTGCACTACTAGGCATTTACCGAAAGAACACATAAATACACATGTGAAGGGTCACATGCACCCCAATGTATATAGCAGCATTATCAATAGCCAAAATATGGAAAGAGTCCATATATCCACTGATGAAGAAAGAAAGAAGATTTGGTGTGTGTGTGTGTGTGTGTGTGTGTGTGTGTGTGTAATATTACTCAGCCATCAAAAAAAAAAAAAATGAGGGGCACCCAGGTGGTTCAGTTGGCTAAGCATCCGACTCTTGATTTCGGCTCAAGTCATGATCTCATGGTTCATGAGATCAGGCCCTGCATTGGGCTCTGCGCTATCAGCCCAGAGCCCACTTGGGATTCTCTCTCCCTCTCCCTGTCCCTCTCCTGCTCATGCTCTCTCTTTCTCTCTCTCTCAAAATTAAAAAAAAAATTTTTTTAAAGACTGAAATATTGTCACTTGCAATGATACAGATGGAGCTAGAGTGTATTATGTATTATGTCAAGTGAAATAAGTCAGAGAAAGACAAATACCATATGATTTCACTCATATGTGGAATTTTAAAAACAAAACATGAGTATATGAGAGGGGTGGAGAGAAGAGAAAGGAAAACAAACCATAAGAGACTCTTAACAATACAGAACAAACTGAGTGTTGATGGGCGGTGGGGGGGGAATGGGCTAGATGGGTGATGGGTATTAAGGAGGGCACTTGTTGTGATGAGCAGTGGGTGTGATATATAAGTGATGAATCACTAAATTCTACTCCTGCAACCAAGATTGCACTGCATGTTAACTAACTAGAATTTAAATAAAAATTTGAAAATAAAATAAAGGCATCAGTTTTGTGTCCCTATCAATAACAGAGACTCAGTTTGCCCTAATGTACCAGGATGTGCTGAGCCAGCTCTCTGGTAATCCTGAACCACCAGGGGCAGAAGGAACACTTATAGGAAGCCTGCTGGAGTGCTTGAAGGCCTTGCCATGAGCCTCACAGATAAAGGGCCAGACACAAGTGAGAGAGGCCGTGAGCCTGGAATCGGAGAGCATTCTTGAAAACCTGCAGGCACTTAGAATAGCTGTAAAGCAGGTGGGGGTCGGGTCCCTTACTTCCAGGCTGTCATCAGGCTTCTCCACTACTGTTGTGTATACGTAGGTGTATGGCATGTCCTCTGGTCATTGAACACGTACTTGCTTTGATTCAGAGCAGGAAAGGAGCCTGAAGGCCCAGAGAGAGGGGAGGGGGGAAGGAGGAGGGGCAAACTGGGGGGACGGGTACTGATTGAAGATAGAAGTCTCAGAGGATGAAAACAAAGCCCTGGGCATCAACGAATCGGGAAGAGCAGCTAAAGGAGGAAAAACTGCATTAAGTAAAGGCACGGAGAATTGAGCTAAGGGGTGTAGTGACCAAAGACCTTCTCTGCATCCCCCGAATCTTGGCTTACCCATGTCATCCTTCACCCTCTAGTCCTTAAACCCCCCATCTCGACAAGGGGCTGGGGGATTTTCATAGCCCTCTATGTCCCAAACGCTGGGCTAACTGTACCACTTCTCCGCGCTGCCACGACTCACACGGGCCACTTGCATCTATCAACCGATTCCTACCAATGTCCTTATGCTTCGGGGCCCCTGTTCCGGGGAAGGGGGGTGCTCTCAGGTTCTCGGGAGGCTGCCGAACTGGGTCTTCCAGGAGCCGTCAAAGAGCCATCGACTCAGACCGGAAAAGTGGGGGGGGGGGGTGTTCACGTGAGAACCGTCCGGGCGGAAACACACGCCCTCCCCCCCCCTCCCGCAAGGAAAGGTTCCAAGCGCCTTTTGTTCGTTCGTTCGCTCAACAAATACCTGTCAAGTGTCTCCTTCATGCCAGCTTCTGGGGATAAAAGAGTAAGCAAACCAGACAGAAGTAGTCCGTCCCTTC